AGTTATTCTTGAACTTAATAATAATAATAATAATAATAATAATGGAATATTTACTACATGCGGCCCATAGCACATAATAAATAAATCTTTAAAATAAAGTAAAATAAAACAAAAAATAAAAAAAAACTAAACTGGAAATAATTCAATTCAAGACCTTAGAGTCAGTCTTATTTTAGGGTAATTAGTTTTGTGTTTTGATTTGCACCTTCTCTTTTGTTCAGTAATATCTGTCTATAATAGTATAGCAATAGCCTTTCTTTTGTGTTAAGTTTTGAGTGAAAGAGTCCAAATCTACAGAAAAAGAATAGGAAATTATATAGATGTGTGATTGTTTGCTACTGAGCTTAAAGAAATCATAACAGCGTTTTTGGTATATTTATTTAGGTTTGTCCTTTGTAATACTTTACTAAGGAAGGGGAAAACCATACTCAGTGAATGCCTGGAATCCCCACACTGGGAAGCAAAGGTGGAGAGGAGTTCTAGAGCAGAGAGAGAGAGATAGCAAACCCTGTCTCAAAAAAACAGAGCCGGGTGGGGGTCGGGGAGAAGGAGGGAGAGGAGGAGGACAGGGAGGACAAAGAGGAAAGAGGTATGACATCCCTGAGAAACCTTCATCCATGGCTACCTGTTGCTTTTCCTGAAGCAAGAGAGAAGCATGCTCCAGTAGTTAAGTTCCTGGGCTCTGAAGTCATCCTGACCTAGTTTAGGTCCTTCTCTGATGCTTTGTTTTGTTCCATTATTATTATTATTATTATTATTATTATTATTATTATTATTACTAAGTTCAAGAATAACTTTCTAGAGCTCAAGAGAAAAACAATAGGGCAGGCCAGCTGTAAGTCTTGGCAGCTGCCAGGAGGAGAGAGAGGGAAGGAGAGAGAGACAGAGAGACAGAGAGAGAGTGAGATGCCTTTTGAGTTAGATGCAGAGATCTGCAATGGCGGAAGTTGGAGCTGGGACGGTGCTTTGGGGAAAAGTGAGGAAGCTCAGAACACCGGGGAAAACATGCCCAGGCTTTGGCAAGTATCTGAAAGAAAGAAAAAGAAGGAAAGAGGGAAAGTTACACTTTGGGCAGCCTGAATGGCAGAGGCTCCAGAGGTGACTGGTGTTCTTTGGTTTTCTGAAGTAGGGCCTGGCTGTGTAGCCAGGTTGTCTTTGAACTCACCATCCTGCTGCCCCAGCCTCCTGAGTGCTGGGAATACAGGTATGCTTCACTATGCCCAGCTTTGTTTGTTTCTTGCTAGTCATGTGACCTCAAGCAAGTTGTTTAACTTTTCCCTGACACAATGACCTCATCTATAGAGTGAACTCAATTGTGATTTTTTTTTCTTTTCTTTCTTTTTTCCTTTTTTTGATTTTCTGTGTGCACTTGTAAGATTCAAAGTCAAGGCCTATAGTTTTGTTTCATTATTTTGTTTTGTTTTGTTTTTGAGACAAGGTTTCAGCATTGAGACAGGGCTGGCCTCCAACTTGGAACAGTCCTCCTGTCTCTGTCTCCCCAGTCCTCGAATTTCAGGCTTGTGCCACCACAACCTCAAAATGAACAAATAAATACGAAGGACCACTCTGGCTAGAGGTCAGTACATGAGTGGAGGCTAGGCACGCAATCTGAGAGCTGGGAAGGCCTGGCCAACTAGGACCTTGTAGCTGACAGTAAGAAGAAAGTTTTTTATTCTCAAAAGATGCCAAAGGCTGGGTGTGTTGGCGAAATGTCTTTAATCCTAGCATTACAGAGACAGAGTCAGGCAGATCTCTGTGAGTTTGAGGCCAGTCTAGTCTACATAGAGTTCCAGGACAGCCAGGGCTACACAGTGAAACGTGTGTGTGTGTGTGTGTGTGTGTGTGTGTGTGTGTGTGTGTGTGTGTGTGTATTTGTATGTGTATGTATATATACTGCAAAGTCACTGGTGTGTTTGTTTTAATTTTTTTACATTTGTCTATTTATCTGTGTATAGAACATTGTTTTTTACTCACAAATAAGGCACAGGACTGATGTGTATGTACAGTATGTACTCTGGGAATAATATCTGAGGATATCTCGTTGTTTGTGGGCTTCCTCTGGTGGAGCAGTGGTTAAACTTACATGGTTTCATTATCTGTAAAAGCAAAATACAACAAGCAATTAATTTATCCTTTGATTCAACATACATTTATTGGGTGTTTATTATGTGACATATTGTGTTCTAGTGCTAAAATACACCCACAAAAAATTAACATTCAAGTTGGACATGATGGTGCACACCTGTGATTCTAGTATCTTGGAGAAGGAGGCAGGAGAATCACAAGTCAAAGTCCATTCTTGACCACAAATCTAGTTGGAGGTTAGCCTGGGCCATCTTGAAAAAAATACGCCCCTCCAAACCAAAATCCAAGCCCTCATGGAGCTTATATCCTGGTGGGGAGGGAGACAGTAAGCCAAATCCACAAGCCACTTGTTGGACAAATGTCATGAGATAAATTATTAGGGGTAAGAAAGTACAAGGAAGATAATAGTGTTCCCATTTGTCTCAGGATTTTTATCACTGTGAAGAGACACCATGACCATGGCAACTCTTATAAAAGAAAACATTTAATTGGAGCTGGCTTACAGTTTCCAAGGTTTAGTTCATTATCAGCATGGCAAGGAGCATGGCATCGTGCAGGTAGACATGGTGCTGGAGAAGGAAGTGAGAGTTCTACGTGTTGATCTGCAGGGAACAGAAGGAGACTGTGTGCTGCATTGGGTGAAGCTTGAGCATATATGAGACCTTAAAGCCGGTCCCCACAGGGACACACTTCCATCAATAAGGCCACACTTCCTAATAGTGCCACTCTCTATGGGCTAAGCATTCAAACACAGGAATCTATAGGGGCTATACCTATTCAAACCACCACACCATGTAAAGTACAGTGTCAGAGACGGTCTCAGTGAGCAGGCACATTTGAAGGAGATGTAAAGGAGATAAGGTGAGTGACACAGGCGTACGAGGGAAAAGCATTCCAGGCAGAGGGAGTGTGGAAAGCAGACAGTGCCTCAGCCTACCTGCAGGCTGGGAGAACATCAGTGTAGTTTTTGTTTGTTTGTTTGTTTTGGTTTGTTTTTAGTTTTTTTTCCAAGATGTTTTCTCTGTGTAACCCTGGCTGTCCTGGAACTCACTCTGTAGACCAGGCTGGCCTCAAACTCACAGAGATCCACCTGCCTCTGCCTCCCAAAGCTGTGGTTAAAGGTATACACTTTTGCAGAACATTGTTTTAAGGTGTGTTACTCTTATTTATGTTGCATTTGTTTAACTCTGTGAAGCTGTGTTACTGTGCCTGTCTAAAACACCTGATGGTCTAATAAAAACCTGAACAGCCAATAGCAAGGCAGGAGAAAGGATAGGTGGAGCTGGCAGGCAGAGAGGATAAATAGAAGGAAAACTCTGGGAGAAAGGAGAAAAGAAGGAGCCAGAGAAGGAGGAAGATTCCAGGGGCCAGGTACCCAGCTACAGGCAAGCCACAGAGTAAGAATAAGATTTACAGAAGTTAGAGAACAGGAAAAGCTCAGAGTCAAAAGGCAGATGGGATGAGTTAAGTTAAGGAAAGCTGGCTAGATAAGGCTGGGCACTCATAATTAAGAATAAGCCTCCGTGTGTGATTTATCTGGGAGCTGGGTGGTGGGCCCCCCAAAAGAGCAAAACCGAAAAATAAGGATGCACTACCACCACTTAGGGCCAGGGCATCTTAAGTGGATGGATGAGGAGAGGCAGTCCAAGAAGAGATTAGAGGTCTACTTGACAGAGTTAGGTCTTATGGGTCCTGTAGGCAATATAAAAAGGTTTTCACTCTGCGATAGACAGTTATTGGAAAAGCATGTGATCTGATTAAGGCTTTAACAGGAAACTCTTACTTCTGGGATAGGGGGGAGCGCAGAAATAGGACACTCAGAATCACAGACTGATGTGCTTATACCAACACAGGTGGTAAACAGTCAGATTCTGCGAAGACTTGGAAGACAGTGTCTACTGACTGAGCTAATTAGATGTGGTGTGTGAGAAAGAAGGGTTAAGAATCTTACCAAAGTAGTTGCTTAGAAAATTGTTGAAATAGAAGCAGTTAATAAAGGTCTTTTCTTTTTTTTCAAAATATTTATTTATTTATTATGTATACAGTGTTCTGCCTGCATGTATGCCTGCATGCCAGAAGAGGGCACCAGATCTCATTATAGATGGCTGTGAGCCACCATGTGGTTGCTGGGAACTGAACTCAGGACCTCTGGAAGAGCAGCCAGTACTCTTAACTTCTGAGCCATCTCTACAGCCCCAAGGTCTTTTCTTTTTATTTGTATTTAAAAGATAGCTTAAAAAATAATCTTTGTTATTAATATTGTATTTGTAATTTTGGGTCTTTTTTTCTTGAGGGTCTCAGACTGAATACACTGAAGACTCCACAAAACCTGTTTTCAATCCCATTCCTTGCCCTCACTTGAGTTGTATTTTAAAATTAATGAAGCATTAAAAATTGTTCCTGAGGCCGGGGCGGTGGTAACACACACCTTTAATACCAGCACTCGGGAGGCAGAGCCAGGTGGATCTCTGTGAGTTCAAGGCCAGCCTGGTCTACAGAGCGAATCCAGGACAGGCACCAAAAATTCACAGAGAAACCCTGTCTCGAAAAAACAAAAACAAACAAACCAAACCAAAACAAAAAGCTACGGCTGGGCGTGGAGGCACAAGCCTGTAATACCAATCCTCGGGTTAAGGAAGAAGATCGCGAGTTCGAGACCAGCCTGAGCCACGTAATGAGACTTTGTCTTGGTGGGGGAAGGGCAAGTACTTTTCACCAAAGCTGCGGCAGCTGAGCAGCACCAGCATCCTGGGAAGCACTCAGGAGACAACAAGGCGTAGGACCCGGGCAATCAATCAACCATCTCCGCCGGCGAAGTGGGCGGGGCCCAGGCCTTTCCCCGCCCCAAGAGGCGGGACGCGTACTCAGGGTTCGGGCGGAACGAGGTGTTGATTGTGAAGCGACCCCCCCCCCCCGTAAGCCTACTTCCGGTTCCTAGGGATGCACATCCGGGGCACGCTAACACCGCGGTTTCCGCCACTCTGTTGGTTCCAGAGTGGGTCCGTAGCGGTCCCATGTTGTGCTGTGGGGCATCTGCAGCCTTCGGGTGAGTCTCCCGCCGCTGCCAGGGTGTGAGCGCGGCGGCTCGGGTGCAGCCTGCCGGGCGGCGGCCAAAGAGGTCTGCCCCGGTCCTCCTGGGTGGGGGTCCCGTCTCCGGTCCCTTGTCCCTGCCGGTCGCCCCTCGAGCCTTTTCCCTCACGCTGGCCTTGCCCCTTCTCCCCTCAGCGCCTCAGCCCCACCTCCGCCGCCTCTTCTCTGAGCACCTCTTCCGGACCCGTGCGTTAAGAACCCGCTGTTCTTCCACCCGGAGCGTTGGGGTTCAGCTCCGTCCCCCAGCTCTCCTCACCTGTGACCCTTCCCCCCTCCAGGGACTAGTGGATGACAAGAGTGTTTCGCCTGCCTTTGCGGAGCGAGACGAGGGCTTCTTGAAAGCCGCGATCAGGGCCGACTTCTCCTGCCTGGGGCGAGTTTTGCCTTGAGGCGCGAGGTTGCACTGAACCCTTGATCGCTTCCCCAGTTTGAGAACAACAAAGGCGTTCCCAGTTCTCCGCTCTGCTCTTAGTTTTCCGGGCTCTCAGAAGAGCAGCGAACAGGTGGCGGGCTCGCTGTCGGGCTTGTGTGATCTTGTTAATTGACAGGTCTTGAGTACGTCCTGTCCGTTTTGTGTCCTCTGTCCCACGAGAATGGATGTGCACAGCTGAGGCAGAAATGCGGATGCTCCGCACTCTGCATGGCTTTTAAGTTAGAGGACAGTTGTTATGACAGAGGACCGAGTTTGTTGGGAGATTTATAAACTTACTTTTTAAAACGTTTCGTTACTGTTTTCTGCTAGAATTCACTACTGTAACTCAAAATAATTTTCCTTATGAGCCAGACATTACTTCTTAGAATATTCTTATCCTTTTAACTTGTTTTTAGTGTTGCCACCGTAGTTTAGAAACCATCATTTTCTTATTTTGAGATTAAAGACATCTTACATTCTCTGGAGGTTTTTCATCATCTATAATGTGAAAGGATTAGACTTAATAATGGTTAGTGTCCTGGTTCTTAGATTTTGTGATCTAGGGGTACAGGTTTGGTAATCACCCCCCCATCTGTTTTTTTTTGGTGTTTGTGGCATTTCATTGCAACTATCATTTTCTTTTGTGTGTGATCAGAATTAATAATTAAATATGAGCCGGGCGGTGGTGGCGCACGCCTTTAATCCCAGTACTCGGGAGGCAGAGCCGGGCGGATCTCTGTGAGTTCGAGGCCAGCCTGGGCTACCAAGTGAGTTCCAGGAAAGGCGCAAAGCTACACAGAGAAACCCTGTCTCGGAAAACCAAAAAAAAAAAAAAAAAAAAAAATTAAATATGAACAGAACAAATACAGCGTTTACTATTGGTTTCTCTCGGCTGTCCTCCCTCATACACACGTGTGAGAGTGTACCATAGACTGGCTTAGTCCATAATTGGCTGCTCTCTTCACCCATTTTTAGCAAAGAACTTGGGAGCTTGGCCGTGTTAGTCCTAGGTGCCCCAGAGAAAGACCCTCCAGGTTGGTTGTCAGGATTGAAGTGGTGAGGGGTGCCCCCATGAAAGTTTATCTGCCCTCCTGCACCAGCACTGGGAAGGGAGCCTCTGTTGGGCCTGACCCCTCATTGCCCTCCTTGAAAACAACCCCAGTGACCGTGGCTGACTCCAGTGGTTCCTTTGCCTCTACGTTTGAAGAATACTTCCTTTTTATATTTATAATTGGTGTACTGCTTTCAACTTTTCTCATTTTTGAACTTTATATTTCTTTCCTCCCCTCCTTTACTTCTTTCCCTCCTTCCTCTCTTTTTTTGTGGTGTGTGTTGACCCCAGGCTGGCCTGAAACTTGCTATGTAGCTGAGAATGGCCCTGAACTCCTGACCCTCCTGCCTTCACCCTCTAAACTCGGGGATTACAGGCCTGTGCCATCATGCTTGACTGTTTCCTAAACATATTTTCAGTCCAAAGCTAGTGAGATTTTTGTAGTCTATGGCCAAAGGGAATTGAGAGTTCAAATGTACTCCCTTCATTGATACCCAGCTTTAAGAATTAATGATGATTTTTCCAAAGTCTTTTTTTTTTTTTTTTTTAAGTTTGACTGTGTATCAGTGCCTGGTGCCAGAGGAGGCCAGAAGAGGCCAGGAGAGGGAGTCAGATTCCCTGGAACTGTAGTTACAGATGGTTGTGAGCTGCCACATGGGTGCTGTGACTCAAGCCTTGGTCCTCTGAAAGAGCAGCCAGTGTCCTTAACCACTGAATCATCTCTCCAGCCTACCAAGATATTTTTTTTTTTTAAAGAAGTCCTGCACTTACATTCAGAATGATAAGTTTTATTTCTTTGAAAGCTGTAGACTAGTGAGCACAATATAGTATTTGGTGGGCCGTATTGATGGATTTAGGATATTGGAATGAAACTATTTAGGATCAGAAATCTATGCCATGACCAGGCATGGTGGCACATGCCTTTTTAATTTAATCTCAGCACTTGGGAGGCAAAGGCAGGTAGATGTCTGTGTGTTCCAAGCCAGCTGTGTCTCCAAAATAAAAAACAAAACTAATTCTGTAATGTGGATTTGCCTTTGAAAAGGGACTAGAAGATTAAAAATCAATCCCGCCGGGCGGTGGTGGTGCTCGCCTTTAATCCCAGCACTGGGGAGGCAGAGGCAGGCAGATCTCTGTGAGTTCGAGGCCAGCCTGGGCTACAGAGTGAGTTCCAGGAAAGGCGCAAAGCTACACAGAGAAACCCTGTCTCGAAAAACAAAACAAACAAACAAAAAAAGGGACTAGAGAAACAAACTGTTGATGCAGAAGTAGAAGTTAGTTTTTTAAAGTGACACTGTCATGTTGTGATCTAAATTCTACATAGAAGCCCCTAAGTGAAATGAGAGTCTCTGCTCTCACTGGAGCAGCCATGGTCATGCCCCTGGACTTGGGACAGGACACTAATAGACTTTGGAGGTACTGAAGAACCTGCCTTTCTTACTTAGCTGCTGCCTTAGTTAACTGTTCTGTTGCTGTGAAGAGACACCATGACCAAGTCCACTCTTACAAAAGCAAGCATTACGTTGGGGACTTGCTTACAGTTTTATAGAGGGCTAATCCATGATCATCATGGCAGGAAGCAGACAGGAGAGAACGAGCAGACCTTGAGACTGAGCCTGGTCCTTGCCTTTAGAAACCTCAAAGCCCACCCCCAGTGACATACCTCCTCCAACGAGGCCACACCTATTCCAGCAAGACATCTCCCACGGACCAAGCATTTAAACATGTGAGCCTGTGGGGGCCGTTTTCATTCACACCACCACAGCGGCCAACTCTCTAGTCACTCGAGACAGTATGGTTTAAAAGCTCTGAAGAGGAATCACTGTCGGGTTTCTTTTCCTTTTTTTTTTTTTTTTTTTAAATTGAGACAGTTGCTCTGTGTAGCGCTGGCTGTCCTGGAACTTGAGCTGTAGCCCAGGCTGGCCTCCAACTCAGAGACTCCTCTCCCTCTGCCTCCCGGGCCCTGGGATCAGAGGCGTGGGCTGCCGCCGCCGCCGCCGCCGCCGCCGCCGCCGCCGCCGCCGCCGCCGCCGCCACCACCACCACCACCACCACCACCGCCCAGCTTCATTGTTGGTTTTCCATAGCAAGTTCTACCTGAGGTTGGTTTTAGTTTTTAAGCCCTAGAGCTCAATTTAGAAAGCATTTCTGCATGTTTTATATCTACATGTTTTCTGGTTTGGACTTGATTATTTTTGGTTGTTGTTTTTGTTAACTTGTTACTGTACTTTGTCACAAATGCTTTAATTTTTTTCCCTTGTATACTATGATATTTAAAGGATGATGCAATTTTAAATATTTGAGAAGCAAAATCTGTCTCCAGCCTGTCCTTCCTATTATCCTTGGATTTGTGATCGCCTGTGCTACTTCATGACTTCATCCTCTTTCCCCACAAATAAAAGGCTCTCATGAAGCTTACTTTCTAGTAGTTACTTGTCTAAAAGATTTTTGTGTATTACAGGTGACTACATGTTACTGTAGTTTGTGTATCATTTAAATGGAAGGACTGGAGAGATGGCTCATCGGTTAAGAGCACTGACACGCTCTTCTAGAGGACCCAGGTTCAATTCCCAGGTCCTACATGGCAGCTCACAACTGTCTTGTAACTCCAAGATCTGACACCCTCACATAGACATGCATGTGGGCAAAACACCAGTGCGCATAAAGTAAGAATAAATAGATTATTAAAAAATAAATGGAGGAAGACTAGTTCAAATAGAAATATACAGTATAAGGACTGGGTTATTTTTCCATAAAGTCTCCTAAATGGTTTATAACAAAAGGTTGAGTTGTACTTACAGTAAAGTACTAAGAAAAAGAGTTGGACTATATATATATATATATATATATATATATATATATATATATATATATATACACATATATATATACACATATATATATACATATATATATGTATATATATATATTTGTTTTTTTTCTTTTTAAAAAGATTTATTATGTATACAATGTTCTGCTTGCATGCCAGGAGAGGACACCAGTTCTCATTTCAGATGGTTGGGAGCCACCATGTGGTTGCTGGGAATTGAACTTATGACCTCTGTAAGAACAGCCAGTGATTTTAACTGCTGAGCCATCTCTCCAGCCCTGGACTTTATATTCTGATTAACTTAAAATGTAAGTGCACGTTCCTGTTCTGAGTACGTGTCTTAGCTCTAAGACACATTAACTGCTTTACATTAGGGAACATGGCACATGATGGAACACACCCTCTTAGAGCCATCAACCCAAGTCAAAGGTAGCTAGTAGAATGTAGAAGTATTTTATTTACAGTACATTTAAAAATTAGACATTTAAGCTGGGTGGTGAAGGCACGTACCTTTAATCCCAGCACTTGGGGGACAGAGGCAGGCAGCTCTGAGTTCTAGGCCATCTTGTTCTACAGAGCTAGTTCTAGGACAGCCAGGGCTACACAGAGAAACCCTTTCTTGAAAAAGCAACACCCCCCAATATAACCAGAATTTAAAGCATG